GTGTTATCTCACCAGGGGGCGCTGCAAAGAACATTTTCTGTGGAAACGATTGTTCCCATTTATCTCGAAAACAGTTTGACCGATTTCGATGCGGTTTTCTGTATAGTATTTGTGACTCATTGGCGATGGTACTCAGATAGGTGTTATGGTGTTAGCTCACCAGGAGGCGCTGCAATAAAAAAATCACTCCTTAAAATTAGTTGTAGCGAATTTTTTCCTCGAGACGGTTCCACCGATTTAGATGTGGTTATCAATATCTTATAACATACTAGCGATCTGCTCCGGCTTCGTACGGGTGATTTCTGGATTTCGTTAATAGCGCCACCTACCGGGTAAACTAAGACAGGCGACAGCACCAAGTATACCTTTGATCATGGGTAACACATAAATTCGATCCTGATGAAAAAAAATATCATCTTTTTACAACGTTTTATTAGCTTTATTCACGCGCTATCATGTTAGTACAGCTAAATGAAATGATAATTTCATAAAAAAATCATGAAAATACTGAAACATAAAACCAGCAGTGGAATTACTGAATTGATATCAGCTGACTTGAGGTCAATGTACGCGCGAACGCAAATTCGCGCGGCCCGCAACTAGCGGGCCATACCACATTACCTAATAATTTACAACACTTGTCTAAATACCTAACTTATCTACTTAACCTACTATTTTGCCACTGTACTTGTCTCCACGTAGCCACTTTAATACGAATTTACAGGTTAAATAACCCAAATAACTGGTTCGATTCCCCGCTAATGAAAAAATACTTAAATTAATGAAATGTAACCAAGATTGGAGTCATGCGTTTTTATTCATCGTGTAGGTATGTTTATTATTTCATGTATTCAGTTATGTACCTATTCAGATTAGTCCAGTACTAAGTTATTTAAAAAAAATACTTATGAAACAGCTTACCGCTCTAAATCCTCCGTGGTCTTATGAGATGCGGCTCAAATTGTGCTCCATTCATTTCAAGGTAGATTTGGGCTCGGTGTTGCATCTCCTCATGCAGGCGGGGCATCATCGTGTAGTCTTCGACACAGTCCGTATGTAGTTTGTCGAAAACATCCACGATCCTTTTGTAGTTTCGTCAGCACTATCACACTCACGATTAAAAACCCTTTCTTTCACATACCCCCACAGAAAGAAGTCTAACGGGGTCAGATCTGGCGAGCGAGGTAGCCAACCGAGTGGTCCTAGTCCGCCAAATCCAGCGATCATCAAATAATTCGGCGAGGCGCTCACAGACGAACCTCACGACATGTGGAGGTGCACCATCATGCTGGAACCATGGTCGGCGATATTCAGCCAACGATACGTCGTCTAAAATGTCAACCAACTGTTCACTTATAAAGTTTATGTATCGCTGTCCGTTCAGTCGCTGTGGCAGAAACACTGGTCCCAGTATGCGATCCTTAATACCTGCCCATACGTTAACCGACCATCGGGTTTGGTGCCCGGTTTGTCGAACAGCGTGCGAGTTAACCTCTGAATACACGTGTGTATTTCTTCGGTTCCACAGGCCGTTTCTGGTAAATGTCGACTCATCCGTCCAGATAATGTGCTCAATGGAACCAGGCACACGTTGTTGCTAGTTTAATAACCAACGGCAGAAAACTCGTCGGCGGTCGTGATCGCCGGGAACTAAAGCTTGCACTTTGTGCAATTTGTATGGGCGCATCCGGTTACGCTTCAACACTTTGTGCACTGCAAAGTATGACACACTTGTTCCATCCCGACGTCTTAACAATTTATTTAGCGATACTTCGTGTACCTAGGTTCGGATACCTAACATGTTGAGCACTATAAACGTACGCGTTAGGCATTATTAAAACAAAAAAGAATCCAAAAACGTAACAACAACAATAATATCAACACGTAATCACAAGTAAATTTATTAAACAAAACGATTGAACTGTCGCTCGCGCACGCGTGTACAAAATCAACACGGAACTGTCTCAAAAACTAAAACGAACGAACCCCGCCAAGGCTGAAACCTACTGCGTCACAAGCGTGAGGCGACAGGGTTAGGCATTCTGCCGTCATAATAAAGAAGGACGCAACTAACAAAAACGTAAAATCGAAATAAAAAATAAATAGATGAATTTTTTTTGAAAGGACGCTAATAGTATTTTACTACTTTTTTTTATTATTAGTAAATATTAGAAAAGCATTGGTAGTGAGACACATAAAATAACAACCCGCAACTCTTGAGTTATGATTTTAAAGGGGATATTATACCAGACTTACTACGATAATAATTAAAAATTAAATTTTTTTTCAACCGACTTCAATATAAATAATTAAGGATAACTCAAAAACTATAGGTCTGATTCGATCAAATTTATATGGGACGACATGTGAAACACCAGCTCTTAATAATAAGATATAAGCTCTTAATAATAAGATATAGAATAATAAGACAAGAATAATCGAAATTTAAGTAATCGATGCAAATATTGTTAAACATGACGTAGCAACTAGTTAAATAAGTCTTTTCTTTTATGTCGAATTTGTATTGTGGAGTGTAGAGAGAAGAAGGACCATCTCTATACTATGAAAAGTGTCCCTAAAAACGTGTCGAATAAGGGTGGCGCTGCAGTAGTATAGGATAAATTAAAAAAAGCGCCAAAAGTAATTAGAGTAAGATGGAGAAATAAACAAGGACCGATTAATCCGCTTGGTTTTGTACTACGTAAATAGTTGAGATTTTGTGTACTGGCATTTTACTAACTACTCATGTACGTCATGAAATTTTTTAAATATTTGAATTCAGCTGACTTCACTCCGTCCATAACAGCTATCTTCATATCGTAGTTTTTCAAACCCCAGCGCTATTGTGGTAGGTTTTGGAACCTCTATTTTCAGTAAATAGTAGGACACTTTTTCAACTTTCGCCCCTTATAAGATGGTTCTCCTTGTACTCTACACTGCATAATTTGTATAAGTCTTTTCTACTAAAAAAAATGTCATCTGTGATCAACAGTTACGTCTAAAATTCTTACGACATTTTCTAAAATATTGATATTTTTGAATATTAAAAAATTTAGTAGATGCGCCTTTTTATCATGAGTCGAATGGTATATTTAACTCATTTATTCAAAAATTGTTAGATGCGCCCTTTTTTCTTATGACGGCAGCATTGTTTCGCACCGAGCTAGATACAGGTCGACAGTGTAGTTACAGTCGCGTTCTAAAGTACTACATGGTATTGGGATATTGTTTTATAATATTATAGTAATTAATTGTTTTATTGTAGAATCATAATAGGTGCTTTACTAGCTACTTAGAACTTTGGAAAAGGTTGGAATTAAAAATGGATAATGTTTACTTGACCATTATTTGTTATTTCTATCGTAAAATATAAAGTAGTTTGTAACAAGAAAACTTAAGCTAAGGGTGACACGCCATCCATTATGTCGTCTTGGGTCACATGGAAGCCAGATGTTGATGGTGTGTTGGTGTTACTGGATGCTACTTCATCATCACTTTCACCTTCGCTTGAGCTTCCGTCATCAGGTCGATCACATGGTAAGTTTTTCGGTATTCTTCCTCAACACTTTTAACTTTATTGCACAATTTTCCCCATTCACCTTCTCCTATCATATTTACCTTTTCGTTCACTAGTTCAATCATAAAACAATAGATATAAATAATTTTTCTTTCCTTCCTTTTTAAAACATCGTCGCGAGTCACAAAGTAAGCTGTGTATGCGACTGTATTTTTGGAGCGAACAAAGCGCGGGAACCAATAGCATGCAGGCACAGTAATACTGGCGGATTGTTCCCCCGTGGCGCCCCCTTCGTACCAATATGTGATAAATCGCTCAGTGCCCAAGTTCAAGGCCAGCGTTCCTTTTTCACCGTTCGCTCGTACATTAACCTCCATTAGTCAGGTGATATCAATTCAGTTTCCACTGCTGGTTTTATGTTTCAGTATTTTCATGATTTTTTTTATGAAATTATCGTTTCATTTGCTGTACTAACATGATGGCGCGTGAATAAAGCTAATAAAACGTTGTAAAAATATGATTTTTTTTTCATCAGGATCAAACTTATTTGTGACCCATGATCAAAGGTATACTTGGTGCTGTCGCCTGTCTTAGTTTTCGGGAGCGTTCCAAAAACACCCTGTATATATATATATATCGCTCATTTGGAGAAACATCGACGTAATTGCTATTTTTCCAATTTTACAGGAGAGTGATTTAAAGTGTTTTTATTTATTTTGTAATGTGTTACCGTCTCCTGATGATGACTCTTGCCTATTTTTTTATATTTAAAATGTGGCTATACTAATGTAATTTTATGTAGTTTTCAATAAAGCTGAATATTTATGTTGGTATTCTAATAAATAAATAAAAATATGTCGGATACCTACAATTCCGTCTTTGTTTCCCAAAGATTCAGTATAATGCGCAGAGTGCTGCGTATACATTTTTTTATGATTTTATGACAAAATGAAACCATATTTTGAAAGTAATCAAAGTATTATCCATTTATTTCGAATAAAATTTGTAATATTTGAGGAACTTAAACTTATATAATAGATAATTTTCACTTAAAGAATCAAAAGGCACGACAATCACAGCTTCGTTAGGCCTACTTTTACAAAATATTAAATTTAACGTACCTAGCTTAATTTGACCAAGTAGATACCATTTAAATGTTTAAAACATTGTCGTAAAAACTGCAATAAAACCTTGGTATGATATTTTTTTGCATTAGTTCTTGTAAGTCACTTTTCTTATTTTGAGCAATAGGTATTTTTCCACGATACGCTGGCTTTAGTGTTAAATCTATTATATCTTTTGTGTCTCCCTTATTTCGTCTGGAGATTTTTGTAACGGCTTCTGTCCAGTCTTCCTCGTATCCAGTTTTAAATTTATATGTTCCATTTTCCTTTTGAAATTTAATCATTTTTATATCATTCGTTTTAATGGTGTTTCCATGTACGTCTTTTGCGGTGTTTAGTCCAATTTCTTCCGCTAAGTTTTAGAGATCATAGAAATCGTCATAGTTTAACTCTTCTACAATAAATGGATTGCTATTTTTTTTTGCAGAGCTTATGATTTGAACGTACTGCTCTGGCACGTATATGGGCCCAGACTTTTTAGATTTTTTAATAGCTTTTTCTATTAACGAGTGCGCTGTGTCTCCTTCATTTTGGGTATGCCCGCGGATCAAAAATTTATGAGTGATGGTTTTGATTCGTAATGTTTTGACGGCATACAGATACATTGAGAAAATGAATCTGGAAACGTTAAAATAAAATGTAATACTTACATTAATATTCATAATTTAGGTAGATTAAGAATGTAGAATTATTGAAAATAGTCAATTCATTTATCCAACTCACCTGTTCTTCTGCTGTCCACAGCAGTTATCGGTATAAAACGTAACGTCAGAATTAGGATATTTATCAGATACTTTTTGCAGGAATTTGTAGACACAGGAACCGATCTCAACTGCACCCCGACCTCCTAAAGCCTCATGCCAGAAGTAACAAATCGTCTCCTTGTTTTTTATATCAGTGATCTAAAAAATTAATAGAAATTTATTGTATTAAGAAATAAAATTGTAGTTTATGAAATAAAAAAGTCAAGAGTAACTTACAGTTAAATTCAGACAATTTAATTTAGACTTATAAAAGAAAGCTGATGATTCTCCAATCGGTACAGGCATCACAGCTTGTAAATCAAATATAGCTACAATGCTATTGCTTTCAGCCATTTTACAAGTCTCAATGTCATTCTTTTTTTCAGCTCGACTGAGTTCTTTTTGGCGCAGGTGTTCCAAATATTGATTTTCTAACACTTCATCACCGTCAACTGCATTTTTACGAGATTCACATAGATCGCACTGATCTTTCTTGGGGATGAAAAAAGAAATGTTAAACTGTTTAGTAAATATTCGGTAGTATAAATCATAGTTTGCAGCAGTTTTCTTATCGGATTCCCTCATGTTTTTGAAGTCACGATGTAAATCGATGTGTCAATAGATGATGGTTCGTGTCTATCCATTACTAAATTGACCAACTTTCTACCACGTCCTTGCATTATTGTAAATAACCTAAAAATAAATGAATAGGAAATCAAAACAAAATTATATATCACCAGCGCGCGTCATGTGACTTTTATTTACATTCACATAAGGCTTAAATTACAACTATTGACGCGCGCTCGTGAAATGCATTAACTGTACATGATACAACATAAAAGAAATTTTTAAAAAGTAAATCTAACTTCAAAGACTAAAATAATCCCACGTGGAATTTAGGAAGTTTACTGCGACTTCACGCAGACAAAAAAGAATTATACGAACATTTCATGTAATACAACACAACAAAAATACTTGGCCAGGTATCGTGAAAATAAGCTGGCTTGCTCTTTTTAAAATGTATATATTTAAATAATTTCACAAAGAAATGTTTAAGCGTATTTGAACCAAATAATAATATTTTCTACCAACAACGACATTACTAATAGGAAATTACAAAAATTATGTCATTGCTTCTGCAAAAACAAATATATTTTGGGACAACAATGTCGAAAATGTTCATTCCGTCGTTGTAGCCCCAAAAAGAACGAAAAATAATGTCATAATTACCTTTACGTCGATGTAGCACCCAAACACAAATACACTTTGCGGAGCTCCCCGCGCAACTGACCGATGCGTCGCTGTTTCCGCGAGATCTTTGCGAGTTAGCATAAATGCAACAACGACGCTAGCGCTACCTACCGATAAATAGACTGAATTTGATTTACGTCTTTGTTTCTCCTAACGTAAATACACTTTCTAAGTGATTTGTCATATTTATCTAATTTTTGGAAAAAATTACATTTACGTCGATGTTTCTCCAAATGAGCGATATATATAATTATACATTTATACCTTTCTCTTAAATCATTCCGTGTATTGATAAAAACCTCATCAAAATCTGCCTATAAGAGCTATAGTTTGTTATTATTAGCTATATATTGTTTTATCTTTCGTGACTTACTTCCTTTTAGTCGGGGGTTTATCAATATGTTTATTTAATCCTTTTTCGATTACAACTTTTAAATCCGTCGTGGGGTTTTTCTAAATTTTTAATTTTGCTTTTAGTTTTTTGGAAGTCCCTTATCGGACGGTTCGGGTATGGCGGATGGGAGCTAGACGAGAAAAAGTGTAAGATTTTTTCGTCACTACCCCTTTTTTCATAGTGTATTTTATTTTAAATGAAGTTTCATTTTAATAGACGCTAATAATTAATTTATGTATATTTGTTAATCAATAATATAATACGTTTATCAATAATAATATACTATGAAAGAAACTTCGATCCAACCGAGTGTTCCACGACACTCACGCATGTTTTTTTATTATAGTTTTCAATATTGTATATAATAAAATATTGTATATTATGTTATGTAAATAAATTTTATTTTAATTAAATAACTACGTACTAAATAAAACACTTTTTCTATGCAAGCATTAATAAGTATCCTAATATGATATACTATTCATCAAATTAGGAACCCGAAGTTCCTAATTTGAGTTATGTCTCATTTTAGTCATCTCCACTTTTGAGCACACTTAAATGAAAAATACAATTAATTAATATACTCAGCGTTTATTTATATTAAAAATAATAACTCAGCCGTTTTTCTGAAACCATTAACAGAGTTTGCATTATTTGCTGATTTTTCGTAAGCTTTTCTAAACAGCGAACTGTAGAAATGGCATGTGTTGAGTTTGAGCACCTCATTGTTGTGAGCGTCTACAGAGCCCCATGTTGTACATATGATGCTTTTGAAAACATTATGGAGGAAGTTTTTGCTAAGCTTAATAAACAGAATAAATCTGTTGTAATATGTGGAGACTTTAATATCAATCTCCTAGAAGCTTCCTCCATCAATATTAAATTTAGATCATTGTTTAAATCATATGGTCTTTTTAATTTATTTATAGAGCCAACGCGTATTTCTCAATCTAGTGCAACATGTATAGATAACATTTTTACAAATGTGAAGCCGTTGCATAAATGTATAATTCAAAAATTAAGTTCTGATCACTGTGGACAAGTAGTTTCGTTACCTTATGTTCACAAAAAGCAAGTAGATGAGAAAGTTGTGTCTGTTCCAGTAAATGCACGTCGCTTGGAGAAATTTAGAAGTAACGTAGTGAAAAAACTTCCATCACTTTCATACCAAAATGATCCTAATTTTTTGTATGGAACATTATTTAAGCTTATTTGCAATGAATTTAATAATACTTTTACTTCTAAAACATTCTCCTTGAACAGTCGGAAGTCATTCAATGAATGGGCGACAGTAGGAGTCCATAAGAGCAGGCATAGGTTATATGATCTTTACCATGAAAGGTCATATAATCATAGCGTCGAATTTAGGGAATATGTAAAAAAATATTCAAAAATATTTAAAAGAGTGTGCTCCATAGCCAAGTCTTTGCATTTGAGCAACAAAATTAAGACGGTTTCCAATAAAATTAAAATGACATGGAGTATAATTAATAGCGAAACTGGTAAGATCAACTCTCGCAATTCAAATTACCAGTTAAGTGTTACAACAACAAATTAACTGTATCAGATCAGGACGTAGCAATGGTTTTTGAGAAATATTTTACTGATATTCCGATCTTGACCACTAAGTCACTGAATTCTTCTCCTGCCGTCGCCGAATCATTACTTAAACAAAATGTAAATGTGTGTACAAAGAATTTTACATTTAATAAAGTGTCATCAAAAGATATTGTAAAATATTTTAAAACTATTGATGTTAAGAAAACTGCGGATCTGTGGGGGATTTCCGTTAAAGTTATTGCGTCTATAATAGATACAATCGCGCCTCAATTAGCTATTATTTTTAATACTAGTATCGAATCTGGTGTGTTTCCTGATTTAATGAAGCATAGTAAAGTAATACCTTTATTTAAATCTGGTAGTACATTAGACCCCGCCAATTTTAGACCTATTTCTGTACTACCAACACTTAGTAAGATTTTTGAAAAAATTGTTCTTGTTTAAATGTTAAATTTTTTTAATATAAATAATTTACTTCATAAAAATCAATTTGGTTTCATAAGGGGTCGCTCGACAACTGATGCCGGTGTTGAGCTGATTAAATATATCTTTAATGCATGGGAGAATTCACAGGATGCTTTGGGTATATTTTGTGACTTATCCAAGGCCTTCGATTGTGTTCACCATGAAACATTAATCAGGAAACTTCAACACTACGGTGTAAGAAGTGATGCCCTTAAATTAATTATTTCATATTTAAGTAAGAGAACGCAAAAAGTTGTCATTAACAATATGAGCTCTTCCGGATCGATGGTACAAATGGGCGTGCCTCAAGGCTCAATTCTCGGCCCCTTTCTGTTTCTTGTATACATTAATGACTTACCTTACATAGTAGGGGATAACCATGATATAGTATTATTTGCAGATGACACTTCTTTAATTTTCAAATTAAGTCGACAGTTACTAAAATATGACGAAGTAAATAATGCTATCTCTAAATTAGTAAATTGGTTCGATGTTAATAATTTGCATTTAAATGGCACTAAAACAAAATGTATGAAATTCGTGACTCCAAATGTCAAACAATTAAATACTAATGTAATTTTAAATGGGGAGAAACTGAGTCTTGTAGATACCACCATTTTTCTTGGAATCACACTAGACGCGAAGCTTCAATGGAGCCCCCATATATCAAAACTAGCAAGCAGACTTAGTTCTGCAGCATATGCTGTAAAAAAGATTAGAAGTTTAACCAGTGTTGAAACAGCTAGACTAGTTTACTTCAGCTACTTCCATAGCATAATGTCGTATGGTATTTTGCTATGGGGACACGCAGCTGACACTGAAATTATATTTGTTTTGCAGAAGAGGGCCATAAGAGCAATTTATGATTTAAAGCCTAAAGAGTCGCTGCGACAAAAATTTAAGGAAATTAATATATTAACTTTGGCCTCTCAATACATTTATGAAAATGTAATGTACGTACACAAAAATAAAAGTAGTTTTACAAAAATAAGTGATATTCCTTCTGTAAATACTAGGAACAGACACAAGCTAGTAGTACCAGTTACTCGACTCCATCGAGTCAGTAATTCATTCTTGGGGCGATGTATACGCTTTTACAACAAAATTCCAGAAAATATACAAAGTTTGACCTGTTCAAAGTTCAAAAACTTTATTAAACTAAGTTTGTATAAAAAGGGTTATTATAATATTAAGGAATTTATGGATGATAATAACCCCTGGAAATGAGGTGATCGCTACCAAGCTATTTCTAATTTGTTGTGTTGTTAATTTGTGTAACATCATGATTGTAAGCTGTTATTTAAAAAAAGAAGTCCCGCTGGGTTTCTTGCTGGTTCTTCCCAGGACAGAGGTTTTTTCCGAACCAGTGGTAATCAAACAAAAGAGTGACTTTCAATAAGTATTATTTATAATCTATATTGAATAAAAAAGTTTCTGTTTCTGTTTCTGTTTCATCATAATATTATTTTTCAAGTAAACATTACTTTTATTTATCAAGTATTTGCTTATGCATGTACACAAATGCATGCTGTTTGGAAAATCTTAAGTTTTGTTGGTCAAAACAATTCCGGGATTATCGTGTAACCAGGTTTCTATTATAGACCCCACTGGAACAACATCCATTATTGTGCTATATTTTCAACCGACGTCAAAAAAGGAGGAGGTTCTCAATTCAACTGTATTTTTTATCTGTGTTACCTCAGAACTTTTTTCCAAGTGAACCAATTTTGATTATAAAAGCTGGTGTTACGGCCTACGGCTACTCCCACAAAGGTTCAATCCTCCGGGGCCCATCAGCGGAGTTTCAACGAACAGACGTAGGTCGGGCCTCAATATGGCCTCGAGAAATTTCCTAATAAACAATAAGGGGGAGCGTTCTATCCTACTGCCATTCAACAGGGAGAATATTAAAACCGAGCTTACTTATACCTATATCCAAGGCGACTGGTCCCTCAGGGTTCGGTCAGGTCGCATGTGGTTGTATGGTGCATGGGAAGTAAAGGTCAGTGAGATGTATCTGTGTGTGACCGTTGCCGTCGGCAGCAGCTCGGACTTCAGCACCGCTCCAAATTGTGGTAATCTTCCGCGGAGTAGTCCACAATCACTTTCTTCGTTCGTCACGAGGACAGTCCTTAACTTTATCGTAAAATTTACTAACTTCCAGAAGCCACTAACTCTAATTTGTTATAAAGCGTAACACCCAACACAAATACAGAATGTCGGTCTATACGAAATCCCGTTACTATAAGCAAAAACGTAACACACCGCACGAACACGAATGTCTGGATCAAAGTTCACTACCGTTTCGCGTGGCAACAATTATTTCTAGAATATCAAATGCCGCAGTAGTAGCTAATATTGTCGAATACCCTTATACAGATTCTGAGTCAGACACAAGAAGTCCCGGGAAAAGCTCTCAAACAAGGAATGCGCGATACGAATGCTAGACAGTATATTTACTAGACGCGCTTAAATTATTCCGCGTTCCCGCACAAAAAAAAGGACAGCGTGCTGTCCCAAGCACAGCTGGCAACGACTCCTGCGCTCGCGCGCCCTCGCGCCCTTGGCGGCATCTCCAATAAAATACTAAGTGTAGGTACCTATATGTAAAATATTGTTTGTAACTAAAACCCTAAATGGGGTACCCAATACGAGATATCCCATTGTAGGAGCCCACTGGTATCTCATATAAGGAACTCACTATAAACCCAACATAATCAAATGTCATTGTTCTTAAGTATATGTAATAAACACAATAAGATGAATTGGAGTCATATTAAATTTCACTTTTTAAAAGATATCACAAATCTTTATTTAATCTAAATGTTAAGTACATTTACATTAAATAATGATTAAATTTTAATGATTTAACCATAGAGTTATTACGCAATTCTATGGATTTAACATACCTTGCAATTGAGAACAAAAAAAATCGTATCCGTTCCCGACTAAAGTCGAGGCGGTAGTGTATCTGTATCACAGAACACTATTATTCTTGTTTGTTTTATTTTCACACCTGTTTGCCGGTGCCTAAATGGTGCATGTATGAACACGACCGATAGACGTACCTGAGTGTTTGTAGTTAGTTTGTGGACTTACCAAACGATAGGTACCACGCTCACGATTAATATCTTTGCTCACAACAAGTAAATGAACTTTCAAATACCGAACTATCTCATTTTCATCTCATATTAGGCACCTTTACCCTACCTATGTTATGTTACGTGGAGTTTTTATCTAATGCTCTGTTTGCCCTATGTAAGAGAGATCTTATAGAGACATTTGATGGTAGGTAAAAACTAAAGATACCTTATGCTCTCTGAAACTGATTTTCTAGTAGCTAGTTAGTGTAGCTAATTGTGATCGATGGTGATGAGATTCACCATTTATATATCAGTATTTTTCCTACATATATTAACACTTATGGTGTTATTAGGATTTATAATAATTAAAACAAAAATGAAAAAAAAATCAAAAGGAGTTAACTGCTTTGTTATATCATAAATTTAACATACGTTTTGCCGACTACGAGGATCGCTGCAAAAGACTTCACCTACTGCCTCTAAACGTACGCAGAGACGTAACTAACGTGTGTTTTCTAAGAAAAAATCGCACAAAGTAAAATGGATTGTCCGGAGTTTCTCAGTAAAAGTTCAACAATAGTCTTTTGTAAGTTGTAACGGCAGATCTAGGCGAGCCCATCGCTATACCATCTACTTGCTAAGATGTGTTTTAAAGAAGAGTAGTAAGAGGCACTGTCGCACTTGGATAACATCTCTGACCATTTCCGGATTTAGACGTACGTGAAAAAGTGTAAACAGACTCAAGGTGAATCGATACGAGTAATGAGAAGAATCAATAATATAAATTTTGAATGTCTAGGTTGTTTTTTTGGTGAAGTGGGCTACATAAAAGACAGAGAATAGTCAAGACAGTCGTTTAGAGGAAAGGTAGGCGGCAAGATATTTGAAAAATGGGTTTTTAACAGATGCATTGGCCACAAACCTCCCCGTGTAGAGGATTTCATTTTGTTTTAAAGATTTGTAGAACTACGTAATATATACGTTCATGGCATTTGTTCAGTCACTTGGCTAAAGAGTAATAGTCATAGAAAATTCAATAGATATAAGGTAATAAGCTGGTGAAATAGATCTGATATCGCCAGTAAATAGTAAGCCCAGAAATATTTTGTAAGAATAAAGAAATAAAACAAAGTTAAATAAAATGAAATGAATGAATTATGATGAAATGAAATGGTTCTTCAAAAATGTTTTTCTTTATTTGACACCCCACATGATTATATTTAATTTTTTTTAGTGTTCCATTTACCTACTTCACAAAACTGAACACAAAAGTCAAAAATTCGAATTTTAAACTTTATATTTGTATTTTATAACTCTATCAAATTTCAATCATCGGCGTGAAAAACTTTCGGAGAAGAACGTTTGTAACAGACACACAGACTGATAGATAATTAGGTGATTCCAATGTGCTCCGTTTTGCTAAACTTGGCATGGAACACTAACGATGCTGGTTAATATGAAATCCACGCGAACAAAGCCGCGGGAAAAGCTAATACTAAATAATTTTTAAATTACTTATAATGTTAGGAGATTCTAGCATGTCTTATAAAAGTATGCGAAATAAAAAAAAAACCATTCCTAGGTTTATTATTTTGTGCAGTTCCTAAATATTATTATATTTTACCTTTTCATTAGTACTGTGATTTTACTAGGGTAACTTTTGCAAACACGCGCAAATTGAGTGCTCCTTTATGATAACATAAAAAGGCAAGGGGGTCCGAGAGCGGGGTCGTCATGCCCTTGGCGCATGCTCCATTGTAATAGAGGCCTGGTATTGCGCGACCCTCGTCAACTTCAGTCAGTGTACAGCTGAGAGGCTCAAGGTGATATCTAGTGCTTCATCGATCGTTTCAGACGTTCCGTGAAATAAAATACTCTACTTTCCAAAAGTAAGTAAGTACTCAAAATTCATGGTTCCATAAGTATTTCTGAGCTAGTCAAAATATATGTCTTCACAATTATTGTTCAGGTGAAACTCAAAAATAGACTAAAAAGCATCTGCTTAAAATATAACGCAGGTATTTGTAATATGGATAATAATGAGCGCATGACGCAAATCCTCATTAAAGTAGGAAATTACTAAGCATGGAATAATAGAATTTTGGTAATAATATTTTATTTCAGGATTATTGAACGGTGCTAGTAATCAATATCTCAAGCGCCATGTGGTCCTTCGTTATAATTTAGTTTAGTACACTGTCACTTTTACAACGAAAGCTAAAATAATTATAAGTAAGAAAAGCGATTAGCCTAGTAATTTATATGTTCCACAAAATAGCTTTCTAAATAATAAGGTCCGTGAATCTTCATTTTGCACCTTGTTGTTATTTTCGAATGAATTCTTTGAAATAAGTCTTATGTATTCATTTTTGATAAGTAATGCCTTACTCATTTATTTTTTACAGAGATGAAGCCAAAATTATTAAAAATACATCTCCAAATCGTAAGGATCTCGAACCAGTCAATGTTGTGACGCACAATTACCGATACACGGCTTAATTATTTTTAGAATTTACCCATTTAAAAATGTTAGAAAAAATACTTTAACTATCTTCTTTATAACATTTATACTAAGTCAGTATTTAATACATATTTTTCTAAAGAAAGATGGGAATTTCGACTGTTCAATTTGAGAAGAGGGATTGTTAGCAAAATGTTCTAAACGTTTTTATAGATACGAAGCAAAGCTTATTGTTTGTTGTTTCGTTGTGAAAAAATTAATAGAAAATAGTAAATTGATAGGTGCTATAAAAACATAAACGTGTATTAAACAATTTCGCATATTAAACAAAAATCAAATAAATATATCAGTTGAGAATTTTTACATTAACGTGAACTATGGAACCCTACGATGATGAATTGTTTTGGCTGGTGATATGTGGGTTTGTGGTAGCGTTTATATTAGCTTTTGGTATTGGCGCAAATGATGTGGCCAACTCCTTCGGTACCAGCGTCGGTTCCAAGGTTTTGACTTTGACACAAGCTTGTATACTGGCAACTATCTTTGAGATCGCAGGTGCTGTTTTAATCGGTAAGCAAAAGTTTTATATATTATAATATAATTAACATTGACATATTTTATATACCAGGGCTGCCAGAAGTTATTCTATAATCATTCAGCTACGTCGATGACATCAAACAAAAATGACTTACAGGTTACGAATAGGAGTAAAATAATCCAAAATAATTATAACAATGAATATTTATCATCATTACTTGAACTTTCTAATTCACAGCAAATATTTTATTTGTTATTAGGAAAATAGAACCGGGATTTCGTTTGCGTTTCAACTTTTATGTAGAATTTGAAGCACTACTTATTCTCTGTAGGTATTGAAATTTTCTGTCGCAGTTAGGTAATTTTTTTTTAGTTTAAGTACCTAACTTGTTTAACTAGTTTGATTTGGAATTCTAAATTCAAATGAATTTTATATTTAGGGCATAGCGTTTTTATCGCTATATAGCTAAGCGCTGGACTTAAAGAAAAGTAGTATTTTTTTTAAATTTTAGTTATTACGTGGAAACAAGGCGTCTTATTTTTTTATTTTAATACAAATTTAGCAACAAATTAACGAACAAATTGTGCACCCTTGAACCTCGTGGCCGCTTGGAGAAGTTTGATAATGACGAATTGAAGGCGGTAGTGGTAGCGGGTTCATCTCAAATCAGCTTTAGGTGTCAGTGTCAAAACAATGTCAGATCATTTGCGAAAAATTGGTAAAAGAAAGAAGCCGAACAAATGGCTATCTACCTTACAAACTAAGTTATGTTTAGCGCGAGGCTTGCGTCCAAGCTTGCATGAAAATTTTGAGTCGTATGTCGTATGATGTTACCTAGGATGAGAAGTGGATCCGATACGACAATTGCAAACATTCATTACAGTGAAAAGAAAGATTAGTCAGAAGATTTTGGTACCAGTTGGCCGGACTTTGTTGGTGTTATTTACTACAGCTACTTCCCATCTAGTGTCACAGTTACTGCTGACTGTATTCTCAAGAATTGCGAATGATGGTGGAAGAGCTGGCATTCAAATAACCCAGACTGGCGAAGAGCCTTTCGCTATTGCTTCTTTAGAACAACGCCTTGCCACATAGCTAGACCCTTTGTCATCCATCATATTTTCGCTCTCAGATCTTGCCTCAATAGATTTTCACTTTTTTCAAAGTGTAGAACTTTGATAGGAAAAAAAAATGTTTTAATTCCAAAGAGTTCATCGATTATCGTGCCGCAGACTTCTATTTCAAGGGCATCAACAAACTGCCCATAAAATGACAAGAATCGTAATAGCTTAGGCAAATATTTGCAATGATTAAAGGTTTTTTTCTAAAGGATTTATTTTAATTTTTTCCATACAAAATAGCAATTTCATAGGTAAAGACCTGATATAATACAGTAGTATTGAGTAGTAGAAAGGTTTCTGGGAGGTTTATGATTAATTGTGAACAGTTTAATAAATAATTTTTAAATTCAAGCTTCAAACGGTGCAAAAATGGCATCACAGTACGAATTGAAGAATAACATTAAAGTTTTTGTTTTTAATTTAAATAGGTACTGGTACCTATACCCTACAGTACATTACAAAGAATAAAGCCGGCAACTAAATTTTTGAACTTAAAAATTTTTGTATCCAATTGTACAATCTGGCAGCCCTGATATAAAAGCATTTTTTCTTCCGTATATGTACATACTTAAATGTACTTTACTTTTTATTTAAAATACTTTGCGTGTTATATTCATTATCTACTTCTATATTTATTGTACTTAAAATTATCTGTTCCACAGTCCACTGAAATTACCAAAAAATTTTAAAATATTTATACGAAACATGTGCACAGCGTTAGCTAAAAAAAACAAGTCCTGGGTCAATTTATTGATGTTTGACATTTCTATTTAAATTTGAATAAAGGCGAACAAAGTTATAAACACAGTCTAGCCCTCTTTTTAACAACAGAAGCGTTGATAACTTGGCAATTTAAAATAAAGCGCCTTCAGAGTGTCATACTTATTTAGTTATTTTAAATACTTGAACAAAAAGATGTTAAGAATTTTAATCACACCATATTTTTGAGTCACAGATTTTCTTCTTCTTCTTTCTTAGTCTTTGGACCGTTGCAAAACCATATGTCTAGCATCTTTGTCACTTCCCCTTGTCGCCGATCTTGGTATTTCACATCTACATGCACGGGATGGTATTTCTGTTATTTCTCCACCTTTACGCTGCCATCGGCTGACATCCAATCTAAAAAAAATTAACGATTCCTTGAATTCAAAATAAACAAAAAAAAACACATATACACACCACAGTGCAATGCGGTCTTAACTAGATACCTATTATTAGAATCAATATAATGTTGAATAGGTAATTATGATGTAAATTTTTTTATACAGGATATAAGGTATCAGACACGATGCGCAAAGGTATATTGGATGTGTCGCTATACAATGACGGTGGTGAACGTCTGCTAGCGGCAGGCTGTTTAGCGGCGCTTATCGCGGGTGCTGCATGGCTTATACTTGCGACGGCGCTTCGCCTACCTGTCTCTGGAACGCACTCCATTGTAGGTGCCACTGTCGGGTTCACGCTTACTGCTAAAGGTCCCACCGGGATTCGATGGTCGACTCTTGGAGCGATTGGTGAGTAAATTCCAATTGATGCTCAATTTGTTTTTAAGTCAGGACTCAGGGTTATTTTAAAAAACATATTCAAAAATTTAAAGATAGCATAGAGCATAGACTTAATAGATTTTGTACCAGTTTGTTACTATCAGTTTATTTTATAAATATTATTTGTTTACTTTTTGATTTCTCCTCAATGGGCAAACTTAAGTTAACTTTGGACTAATTCTGGGCAGTTTATTTTATAAATATTATTTGTTTACTTTTTTGATTTCTTCTCAATGGTCAAACTTAAGTTAACTTTGAACTAATTCTGGGCAGCCTGATCTATTTATACAGACGATATTAGAAACAATTTAAAGGAGTTCTAATATCTGTTTTAAACCAATTTTTTATCCGGACGGATTGTATCTTTTGTTATTAAAATATGTTTTTTTTTTACTTATTATAAGCCAGTGCTTGACCACAATCCCATCTGGTGGTAAGTGGTGATGTAGCCTTAGATGGTAAATCACACTGTCTTATCGTAACAAAAGCCTTGAAGACGCCCAGATTGTATTCGGACGGAAAGATAGACGCCCGCAAATTATTCCACTCCTTTGCTGTACGCATTACAAAAGACGAAGTAATCCGTTTGGTTCTAATGCGTGCAATATCGACAACAATGGGATAAAGACCCGCCGACCGCCTGGTTGTCCGATGGTGGAAAGGAGAGGGAGGAATTAAAGCGTGTAATTCCTGCGCACACTCACCGAAATGCATCCTATAGAATACTGAGAGACTGGCTACTCTGTGCCTGTGCTCGAGGGTGACAAGACTGGTTTCTACCAAATCAAGATCACCAATGAGCCTCTTAGCACGTCTCTCCACTGAGTCCAATGCTGCCAGGTGGCATTTTGCAGCACCAGCCCATATGTGACAGCAGTACTCCATGCACGATCGGACTTGCGCTTTATATAAGGTAAGAAGCTGCCCCGGCGTGAAGTACCGTCGCAGCCTTGCAAGGACACCAAATTTCCTTCCGGCTGCTTTGGCTCTGGATTCAATAAACCGCCCATAGTTTAGGTTCGGAGAAAATTCAATCCCTAACAACTAAAGGCGGTCAGTGTAAAAATAGCAGTCATTTGCATTTGCTGCGGTTTCTTGTAACTGTTACTGTTATTAAGTACTTGTGCTTTAATACAGAAATAGCCACTCAAATTTACGGGATACGGTATATTTAAATACTTCGAAGTGTTCTACAGTTACACCGAATTTAAACGTGGAAAAATATCCGCTAACGATGGCCCTCGCTCGGAACGCCCTACCCCTACCTACGTCAGCAGTGACCAAAGAAACGGAATAGACGAAATATTCGTTAGTAATTATTATTGTTAGTTAGCAGATCGTCGTGTCATGGAACGTTTTAATACACAACATTGTAGATGAACGCTTGGGGATGTAAAAAGTTTCACATTAGGTACACTGAATGCTTACCAATGCGGCGAAACGAACAAACCAGACTGAATATTTGCCAAGGCTTTTTTGCAACAAGATCCTAATCGTTTTTTTGGCTTCATTTACAACAATGGACGAAACGTGGCAATCGGACTGCACTGTCGACCTCTGGTCTGAGCAGTCGGGTGATGTGGCGGCGCTGTCGTCGCACCACAAGTGTAACACATCAAAGCCTAAATCGCGCTAACAAAGTTCCGAAGTTAAAGCAGTATATATAGAATAGCTCCGAACTAACACTCGGATCGTTGGCCGCTCCCCGGGCAGAACACCTTGCCCGGCGGGAGATCTCCCCTTTTCCTTCCACCGGCCACAATTCTTTAACGTAATTGTAATTACGTATTAAATTCAAGGCAAGTCCTTCCTCCAGATGACTACTTCTCTGAGATAGTCAAGGTGTATTGTGATTGAATATACCGATCATGTAGCTATTGCGTTATAGGCACTTTGTATGCAGATGCAGAACAAACAAAAATTTTGTGCGAAGAAATCCGGGAAAACAAATTGACTTGTATCAACAAGATAACTAGGCGCTCACAAGTCCGCCTTTGCGATGATAGCAACTTAAGATGCTGGCTTTGAAATACTTGGGAATACTCCATTTGCACCAGACCTTAGTAGTAGACCTAATGGTCTCTATGTATTTCCTAGATTGAAAGAGTATCTGAGAGGACAGAGATTAGTTTTTATTAAATCTCAAAGATTTTCGGATAAAATTTAGTCTAGATCACTCCTGGTATTACTCTATTTGTTCGTGAAGTTTTATTACAATCGGGTAGCCATTCCGAAGATTAGCTCGGACAAACAGACTTGCAAACGGAAATTTTAAAAATGGTTACTCATATCTGAATGATATAATATATATACATAATAATTATTAAAAAGAAACTCTCAGAACGCGTCGTTGCTCACAAATTAGCAAAACCGGACTGATTTTTTTGTAGTTTATGGCATTTTGTTATCGGTGATACCAATGTCATGTTGGACTAAAGTTGCAGAACGTACGAAAAACGCATACCGCAACGTATTTTATTTAAGTCTTTACCGGCAAGGGTAATAGTCAGTTTATTTTTTAAGTATATTACAGGAGCTATACCATAGACTTAGAATATACTTCTAAGTCTATGAGCTAAAAAGTAGCGGCACGAAAGTCTAGCGGTTACCGTTATTGCGCATAAGTCGAAAATAAGGTATCAGGTTCGCACGCGCTGCTTGGCTCTCCAGTCGCATTCGTGCAATTCATTTCGTGCGCGACAGTAACCATGCGCAGCTATCCCCTCCACGTTTCGTTCAGCGCTAGACTTACGTGCCGCGACATATACCATTCTAGCTTTAGTTTTTTGCATTCCAAATATTTTGTACAGATTTTTTAATTTTTTTAATGCCTCTCGAACACACTTTCTCTTAATTTTAAGGATATCTATGTGGTGCAGGAGATTTTTTTTCGGAATAATAATGAATGTAATTTATCTATTAGTCTCGTCATTTTTTTAAATGTATTATGTTCCACGTTTTTTGGTTTTATTGCAGTATTGTCATGGTTCATCTCACCGGCTCTTAGTGGTGCAGTATCGGCCACGTTGTTTTGGCTGGTACGACGGTATATACTGCGTGCCCCCGAGCCGCTTGTGTCCGGGCTTCGCGCCCTGCCGTTCTTTTATGGAGCCACCGTCGCTGTCAACGTGATTAGTGTTGTGCACGATGGGCCTAAATGTAAGCTAAGTTTTTATTATTTATTACGAAATACACGGTGATTTTAACAAGTACACAGCGGAAGGTCTACACGCACATTTTATTTAATACGTAAGAAGCAAGGATGGCCCTGACCGAAAATGTTTATTATATAAAACTATAACGTACCTAACTACATTCGGCTTTACCATGTACGCGGCGTATCTTATATCACTCCCTGGGTGTCGCAAGATATGAAACAGGGGAACTGAAACAGGAAAAGGGCAGCAGCATCTTCTAGATAACAACTCAATAATAATACAAAAACTCCAGTTACCCACGCACCTGCCTTAAATAGGCAAATATCTTCAAGGCATTTTATGGAGGAGGTCTATGTTCAACAGTGGATTTGTGATGGGCTGTAATGAATCACGAAATTAATTTGGACTTGATATCTTCACCCCGTGTAGTGGCGGGTAAGAATACCCACTACCCAATATCTTCCCGTGGGTGTCGTAAGAGGCGACAGAGAGAAACTGAGACAGAAGATGGGCAGCAGAATCTTTGTGATAATAGCAAATCGCAATAAATCTCCTGAATTGTTTCCCTCTATAGTATAGTGCAAAGGTTCCCAAAGTGTGCGCCGCGGCGCCCTGGTGCAGTGTAGGGAGTAAAGAGGGGCGCCGTGAGGCGATCCTGTTTACCATTCTTCCGAAACTAAACTTTTGTATGCGCGGGTACAAAATAAACCGGATTTTCAGGCTGTTATAAAGAGCAAATATCGTTCAAAGATCAGTGTGGAGCGAGAAATTAGGGTAGCCGTGTCAAGACTTATACCACGCTTTGAAAAAATGTGTGGAGATCACCAAGCTGCACACGTCACATTGACTAAGTTACAATTGTAATTTACTATTTTTCTTAAACAATAAATGTATTCATGTGTGTCAATATAAATATAAAAAATCAGTTTAGAGTTTTGCGCCTAGTACCATACTTTCAACTCGTTATTGCGGCAAGACAAAATACTAAATCGGTGTAAGTGTGCCGCGAACTAAAAATAAAATAAAAAGTTAGTTCACTTGATGAAGATAGTTGAATCAATGATTTTTTTAAAACCCACATGTTACAGTGATAAGATTTTCCAGGAATCAAGAAAAATGTAATATTTTCAGAAGGAATATTAAAAAAAGATAATATCTTGCTTCAATGTGTAGTTTTATGAGTAGTATTACAAGCATATTCTGAAAAATAAAATTATCCAACTGAATAACACCTATTGCATGATAAAAATCAATTACATTTGGGGTTTTAAAAACAATTTACTAATTTAAGGATAAAAATTAAGAATTTTATTTTAAACAAGTGAAATAAAACTAAAATTTTTATGAAAATCACATTTTTATTTATAGCTTACAATAATTATAATTTAATTTATTTATTTTAATAAGTTTCTGGCATTTCCTCATCAATTATTCGTCGAACCATAATGTTTAAGTAAAATGCTTTATATTCTTCTGGAATATAGCGAAAAAGCTGTTGGAAGTCCTTGATCTTCTTTGAATTACTAGGAACATAACAATTTTTATATGCCTTGTCATCAGCACATGACAGAGACACATTGGGCTTGTGTGTGTCCAAACTTAAATGTATTTTTTCGTGATGAGTTGTGTGATGACAGTCAATAAAATTGTATGCTGTTATTGTGCCTTTTTCTTCTTCTTGATAAACTAGTTGCATGTAAGTGGATATATTATTAAAGCGTTCTTTTTGGTCCTTTCAAAAATTTCTGCCTAGTGACTCGACAGAAAGTATATTTTTTATACAATTTAACCCACTAGTCTATAGCTTAAAATCTCATCAGTTTGCACTGAATGAACAGTAAAATCCTGTTTCGCAGAGGATTTTTTTTATAGGAGCGAGTGACAAACGAGCTCACAGTCCACCTGATGGTAAGTGGTTGCTGTGGCCCATAGACACCTACATTTATCCTCGTTTGCGAATTAAAATGCAGATGCGTTGTCACTCGTGAGGACTGAGATATAATGCCTCTTTTCCAGTAAGTAGGGTCTCCGGTTCTCTACACTCACCATAGGAAACACAGCAGTGTTAAGCTGCCATTTTACGCTGGTATTCTGTGAGAGCGTGGTCTTACCCCGGTCGAGCCGACACATTCGTGCTACAACTTATAGCTGCAGCATGGCTCTACCACGTAAAAATTGTATGATATGACGAATATGACGAAAAGGATGCTTTAATAATTTCCATTATTTCTTCTAAAGAATATAACGGTCTACTAGACGCAGTTTTCTTTTTGCGAATAAAACAAAATGGCTGAAATGCGTTCAGAAACACCACATGTTATGTGGTGTTTTTCAAATCATCATTCATTCGCGCCTACAAATTTTACTATGGAGAATAGCGGCACATGTGGGTTTTTTTTACACGAATCGATAGGTGGTCAAATCAGGGAAAAATGTAACATGTGGGGTTTCAAAATCATCGATTCATTATAGTTAAATAAATATTGTTATCACTACGAACAGAAAATGTAATTCTCTTTGCACATAGTAAGAGAATGGTTCCACGATGCATAAAAGAAAGTCTAGCGTTTAATCAGTTGATTCAAAGATTTAATAAATAAAATAAATGCGTTGCTATTATGTTTGAGTTTTTTTTTTAAATTTAGTTGATGTATTTAATATGGTTTAATTTGTTTCAGTACTGTCTATGGACAACATACCGATGTGGATAGCGTTGGTGGGGTCGGTAGCACTTGGTGTGGTGGTCGCCGCCTGCGTGCGTATCTTTCTCGTGCCATATTATCGTCGCTGTCTCTGTACACCGCCCGTCAATTTCACACTAGGATTATCCAATGGTATGAAATTATATGTATATTATATAGGTAGTGGTATAAATTATAGGTATATACTTAAGGTCGACGGCCTTGACATTAAGGAGTAGCGTGGTAAAATGTTTTCCACCAGCGCTTTACCGCACTGAAATATCGGGTTGGTGTGACGTCGCGCTCGCAATAGCACGAATAAATGATAGTACATATTATTTAGTCTGTGATAGTACTACGTACAATAGCGACGCGATAATGTACCTACCTAAATAATCTTATTAACACACAGTCACTTTGAATTAAAGTCTTCTGTAATCTTAAAGTTGAGTAGCGTTTGAGTATTTGGGCATTAGACAGCCACACCTTGTTGAGACGTTTATAAAAAAAAACATGTGTGCAGTTTACATGCGGTAGAAGTGAAACCTTCAAATGAAATGAAACATAAAATAAAAATATTTCACGGCAAATGATTTATTTAAAAAGATTATTTCCAACCACAAGTGCGGCGGCATAAAATATAAGATAAAAGTTTAATTTTATAGCAAACTAGTTGTGCCCCGCGGTTTCACCCGCGTATTATTTAAGAAATTACTGATGGATTAATTGATTTATAGTACTTCAGTGTAGACAATATTTTTAGTATCCTTTTATTTGGTATTAAAATATATTGGTTTTCCCCGCATCCTGTTCTAAATAAGCGGACATAACTGCCCATTGAAAAAACAGCATTCACTTAAATCTATCCTCACGTGCTAAGTCTGTGCTATATTTATAGTGACTGCAAACGATACTTTTATGGGATATTGTGTTATATTAAAACTAAATGTATCATAGGAATTCGAGGTATGAGTACCGTTTGCGCAACTGCTGGCCCAGTCAAAACTATAGCAACTATGATATTATTACAAAAAAATTTAACATGAAGCATATTTCGTGACATACACTTGGTGGCCGCAGCTTTCATAATAAAATAATGAGAGTACTACTTTTTAAGTTCAATGAATATGGAGGCAGTCCACAAGGATTCAAAGAATTTAAAAATTCATGGCGGTAATGTGCCGCGTCTTCTTGATCCATGATAGCATCAATAGCAAGGTAGTCTCTGTGTAAAGTCGATCCGTCGACTTATGAGCACAAAGGCTAGTTTTTACAAGCAATTTTTCTCCCCTACTAAGAAGATAAAACTGTTACCCGATGTAGGTACCTACATTACTGGTGATAGGCGAGTGTTCAAGATAGGACCCGAATGGCAGCACACGCGAAGGCATATCATATCGCTGGAGGTTTTAAATTTAATTTTTGCGTTTGTAGCGGCGTTATCCTCCCGCCATAAGCGAATGGAAGTTTTCGAAGTAGCTCCGTACTTACCACACAGGTAGGGTTGCCATCTCCTAAAATGAAAAAGCCGGACTCGGCGCTCCAAAAAGTCGGACTTTTGGCCCTAAAAGCCGGACAGTAATTTTTAGAAAGCCAAACATACCTTTCTGAGGTCAAACAGTCAAAAAACTCACCAACTCCAACTCAACAATAACCAAGCGATGCGTGCAACGCGTTACACTACAAAAAGCCTAACAAAAGCCGGACAGGCCGGACACATAAAAATTTGGCCGAACACAACCCGAAAAAGCCAAACATGTCCGGCTAAAGCCTACACACAGAGCGTTGACAATATTTATTTTGATATAAAATAAAACTACAAATAACAAAAAAATTGTGTACTAAGTAGTTACCATTAAGGGTCGCAGATCAGTGGTTATATGTTGAATCAAAACGAAGCTGCACGCCAATTACTAAAAATTAACGTTTTTTTTTCTTAATAATATCCATTATTACATTAAAGCTACAGCTATATTGTACAGTAGGGCTACGATGGCTATCCGAGTACAAAACCAGAGTACCTAACCAGAAACCTATCCAATTGCAGAGAGGTGTAAGACAGGGTGACGTTATATCCCCGAAACTCTTCACCGCTGCATTGGAAGACGTTTTCAAGCTTCTGGACTGGAAAGGATACGGTATTAACATCAATGGCGAGTACATCACTCACCTTGGATTTGCCGACGATATAGTCCTTATGGCAGAATCGCTGGAGGATCTAAGCACCATGCTCAATGACCTCAATAGTATCTCACAACGGATAGGTCTTAAGATGAACATGGACAAAACAAAGATCATGTTCAATGTCCATGTCACACCTATGCCGGTAGTTGTTGGGAGCACTAAGCTTGAAGTTGTTGACGAGTATGTTTACCTGGGACAAATAGTCCGACTAGGTAAGTCCAACTTCGACCGAGAGGTCAATCGACGGATTCAACTCGGCTGGGCAGCGTTCGGGATACTACGACACATCTTCTCGTCAGACATTCCTCAAAACCTTAAAACGAAATTGTACAACCAGTGCGTGTTGCCAGTGATGACTTACGGATCTGAGACGTGGTCCTTCACTGCTGGCCGTATGAGGAAGCTCAAGGTCGCTCAGCAAGCTATGGAGAGGGCTATGCTCGGAGTTTCTCTGCGTGATAAACTTAGAAATGAGGATATCCGTAGTAGAACCAGAGTGACCGACATAGCCCAACGGATTAGTAAACTGAAGTGGCAGTGGGCCGGCCATATAGCTCGAAGAACCGACAACCGATGGGGAAGAAAGGTTCTTGAGTGGCAGCCTCGTACCGGAAGGCGAAGTGTAGGGAGACCCCCCACGAGATGGAGTGACGACCTGGTAAGACATGCAGGAAATCGATGGATGCAGGTGGCTCAGGACCGTACTTTGTGGCATTCCTTGGGGTACGTCTATGTTCAGCAGTGGACTTATGACAGGCTGTAATGATGATGATGATTACATTAAAATTAAAGAAAATGGAATTATTTAAAAAATGTACCTAGTCAGGTCATAAATTCTGTCACATGTTTAATATAAAATAATTGAAACAAGTTTATTCATTATGTAACCATTTTTATATACCAAAATGAACATAACCTCCTCCGTGATTTTGAATACAGGCCTTCAATCTGCGCGGCCAGTCGTCTATCGCAGAACGAACGAGGTCCATGTTTTTATCGGCGGCTGCCTTAATTCTTTAAGCGTCCACTCCATATTTAAAAATGAGTAAAATTCTAAAAAGTATACAGTTTTATTTTCATGAACAATTCGAAATTCGAATTCAATAAACTTTTTTGTGGCCAGCAATCTAAAAGAAAAGTTTTTACTGTGTGACAATATTTATGACCTGACTAGGTATATGGAAGTGTAACTCCAGTGTAGTTTTCCAGCAGCTTAAAATCAGAAAGTATTTAATTTTTCTAGAAACGACGCCAGCAAATACTCCAACACATTTCAATAAGACCAGTATACCACAGAGACCAACGTCACTCCTATCCGAGGACGGAAAACTTCTAGAAGTAATAGCAGAAAGCGCAGAAATGGTTACATTGAGCGATGTAGACAAATGTTCAGTGGGTGTTAAGGAAATGAATGCTAGGAATCGAGCTTTACTCGCAACTATGGATGACTGTAGCATCCTCTCAAGAAGCTTAAGTCCTTCCAATAAATCAAGACTGCAGTTGGTAGATGCAGACCCTCAAATCAATACACTGAAGTATATTGATGAGACTCTGAGTTGCTGTAAGAGCTTAGATTCCTCACAGCTGGCTGGTATGGGTGAAAGTTATGGTTCTGACTCAAGAAATGGGTTTCTCGGTGACTCTTGTGACACTATAGCTCGTGGAGAGTTTAACAGCTTGGCTGCTTCAAGAGGACTGCCGCCTGTAACTGATATCGATACATCGCCACCGCCTCGTCTTGATAAGGTGATTAATTATTATTATTATTTAAATTAAGATAGTAATATTGAATATAACGTGTATATTAAAGTCTACTCTAGTCTATTACTAAACTCTTAGCGACGGCGATGGATTCTTCTTATCCTTAAGTCCGTAAAAGTTCACTGTTTGAAATGCTCATTTTTACATCTAATACAGGCTGGCCAAATAAGAGGTACACAACTTATTTTATAAAATTTGTATTTTTTCTAAAATACTTTATTGGGGATTGGGAATTACGAGTTGAATATAACATCTGGCAAATGTCCACCTCTAGCAGCATGACATGTGAGCTCTTTTCATCGCGTTTCTCATCACATTTTCGCACACTTCCGTGTTGTCCCACTGACTGCGTCGCGGATATTCTGTTTCAAGTGTTGAAAATTCATCGGCTTGTTGGCATAGATACGATCCTTTAGATATCTCCACAGAAAAAAGTCAAGGGCTGTCCTATCTGGTGATCTTGGTGACCAATTAATGCCACCATTTTTTGAAATTATTTGACCTAAAAACATTTAGTTTTCAATGTTCCGATTGTGTCACGTGCCGTAAGATATAAGGCCACAGCTTGTTGGAACCACATGTTTTCTAAGCCCAACTGATTCATTTGATGATTCAAAAATTATTGATCACGGTAACGATATCCATTCACTGTTAGAGCAGCACCCGTAGCATCTTCAAAGAACTGGAGTACAATTACTCCCCCTGACCAAATTTCACATCAAAATGTTACTCGACGTGGATGCAGTGATCGTTCATGCATCAGCGAAGGCTGTTCTTCGACCAATAGCGCGAATTTTGCTTATTGATAAAACCACTGTCAAGTCAAATTAAGTTTCATCACTCATTATGATTTTTTGATGGAAAGCTGCGTCGCTTTCCAATTTGGTTAGCATATAACTGCTGAAGTTACGACGGCGTTCATGGTTCCGAGACTTAAGTTTATGAGTTATCTAAATCTTATATGGGAACAGACCAAGGTCTTTTTTTCAGAATATTCTGTAGAGAGTTCCTCTTAATATCCAGTTGTTGAGGACGTCGCCTAGTAGACAATGTCGGATCTTCGGCTACACTTTCACGAACACTTTCAATATTCTGCTCCATACGAACTCTTCTGGCATGATAAGGAACCTATTTATTTGTTACAATCTTATGCTGCTCAAATTTATCTACCAAACGAGTTATTGTTAGCCGCGAAGGTAAGTGATTCCTACCGAAAATTGGTCGCAATTTTTTCATCGTTTCCGCAATAGAAGATTGATTTGAGTAGAACTTTTTGATGATAAAAACACGTTCCACAAGTGAAAAACGCTCCATATCGAGTTTAGCTTAGCTACACAAAATTATCGTTACCGAACAAGTGTCAAATTTGCCGCTTAAACAAAATGGCGCCAAAAAAAGTTGTATACCTCTGCGTTGGCCGCCCCTTATAAACGAGAGGGTATAGGTAACTTCATTTATCGGAAGCCATGAGATCTATCTCACGGTTGCGTTTTATGGATTGCCGTGTGGTGACGGGGTACTAGAATATATCACAACACAATTCGTCACGTAAGTGTCGTAAGAAGCGACTACAGGAAATGCCAGAAAATCTTAAGGCTTCTCATATACGGCGCTGTGTATAATCATCCCGTTTACGTGAGGCCTAAAATGTCTAAATCCCGGTTTACATTTCGAGAAGTGACAAGTCCTGGTGAGATTGACAAGTAAACACTGTCAAGTGACAACTAGCAAGTAGGCGTTCATACATGTGGCAAGTGGATATGCAATAAGGTCATTACTAGTTCTAGTACTCAATATGGATGAGCAACTGCGCCTACAAGTTCTTGAAGTAATCAGAGAAGTCATAAATCATTGTTATTTATGATAGGATAGCGGCGTCACAGATCATTTTATTTTTGGAATTCGGCTATTTAATATTAAATAAACAATCGTGTTTCAGTAATTTCTCAACAAATTTGATGTCATCGTTCTCTGATCACTTGCCATTGTTAAAACAATTGCGCAAACCAAAATTAACTATTAAAACACGAACCAAAATTATTCACCAACACGTGTATTTCGTGACGTATTGGCTAGAGCGGGGACAGTTTGCGAGCGAGAGGTAGCAAGGGTAGAGCGGGGCAGAGCTACTTGTCAGAGAATAGAGCAAGCTGCTGCTATTCACATGTTACTTTTCACACTTATCACTTGTCACTCGCACTTGTCACTGCCTGTTCACACGCACTAAGCAATTGTCAGTTACTTCTCAAAATGTAAACCGGGCTTTAGTATACTATTACGAGTATTACGATTATTGTAGATGACTGTACTTTGTATAAAACTATTATTATACTATATTTTTACACATTTTTATAAAAATATTATTTATTATTAAAAAAAATACAAAGCATTACTCTCATTGCAGTAATGTACATTGCAGTAAAGAGTAATAAATACTTGTTTCGTGTGGGAATCGGAACCGAGAAGTCAAACGGTTAGCCAATGCGCTAGTGCCGATAAATGAATGAACAGTCTTTTTACCCGACTGCCCCAGAAGGAGGATAGTGTTTTTCAAGACTATGTATGGCTGTATGTCTGTTTCTTTAGCACACTCTGTAGCCTAAACGGGTTTATCATCGAGTGTTAATAGATTCGACTTAGTTGTGGCAGTGACATAGGGCATAAAATTATTTACTTTTCAGTAAATTTTTTTACGCAGTCGGAGGTTTAAGCTTGTTTCGCTACAAATTGTTTACTGGATGCTAGGGCCCCGAAGGCGGCAGTGCATGGAGCATCGAGTGTGACGGGCGCACTGCGAGACTGCCAGCACTGACGCCGAACTCGAGCGCAGCGCCGCTCCTGCGAGCCGCCAGTCCGAAACGCACACCTCCGCCCCCACCACCTCCTGACACCTTGCGTCTCTTCTCTTTCCTGCAAGTGCTTACAGCAACCTTCGGCGCGTTCGCTCATGGTGGTAACGATGTTAGGTACGCTTCTTTACGAATACTCACTAGTAAGTAAGCGTTAACATATGTGCTTATGATAGAAAGTTTTGACGAGGGGCGCTAAAAAAAAAGAACTCTTCGTTATCACAAGAACATTAAAAATATTGGTTGTGGGTGCAACGCCCACTTAACTTTCGCTTAACTCAGCACTATGCTCATTAATTTCATAGTGCCCTCCCAACGGAAATGTCTTACAATAAACATGGACAAGACAAGGGTCATGTATAACATCCATGCCACACCTATGCCGGTATTTGGAGTACTATGCTCGAATTGATTGACGAGTAGATAAGTGTTCTTAGGAAAACTATGTCCGAGAGGTCTAACAACGGATCCAGCTCTACTGAGCAGCGTTCGGAAGATTACAACACATCTTCTTGTCACGTATACGTACCTCAAATTTTAAAAACAAGAGAGTAACATCCAGTGAGTGTTTCACTGCTGGCCATATGAGGAAGCTTAAAGTCGCTCCGATACGAGGTATGGAGCGCGGAGTTTCTTGGTATGGTAGACTTCCTAGCACCAGAGTAACCGATACAGCTTAGCGGATCAGTAAGCTGAAGTGACAATTAGCTGGCCATATAGCCTGTAGAACCGATAACCGATGGGGAAGAAAGGTTTTTGAGTAAAAGCCTTGTACGAGTAAGCGAAGTGTGGGAAGGCCCCTCACTAGATGGAATGATCGAGTGACCTGGTGCAGGAAGTCGATGGATGTAGGTGGCTTACGTTCGTGTTCTGTGGTTTTCTTTTGGGGAGACCTTAGCAGTAGATTTGTGATGGGTTATAATGATGATGATGATGATGAATGCAAAATAATTTTTGTGTTACTTCTCGTTAGTTCCTTAGCTATACGAATAGGATATAGTGTTACAGGACGTTACACACCTTGGACACAGCACTCACTTCACACGGTCCCTGTAATTTAGACCTATCATATTAGATGAGTGTGGTATTTCTTTCGAAAATGTCGAAATCAAACATATTGTTGATGGAGCAGTATGACCAATGCAAATGTAACGACTCTGCATCCATTAGTGTACCTGCTCAGCTTGATAAGTTCAGTGGGCGCATTATTGAAAAGGTTTAATCCGTTTCTGATTCGGAAATCTCCAATTTTACTATAATGTACCCATACGACATCCTCTGGATAAGACACAGTAAATGGTCTTAGGATACTGTCACAACTGACTGATTTTTTACTACTTAGTCCAGAGATTATTTATTTATTTATCAAACTTATTTTTTTATCGCCCCCTATGAAAATCAATTATTTTTCAGTGCCCCTAATTTTTTATACACTCCTAAAACTTAAAAAGCACAATTTAATTACATTAATTAATTTAGTTATTGTGTGCTATATTAGTCGGTTCTGGTGTTTAAACTTACACTCTAAACTTGACATTTTTATCAGTAAGAGCAATTAAAACGCAACTTTATAAAATTAAGAATATATTTTAATCAAATTAAAATAATCAATATAGATAGGTAATCAATTTTAGTTTTAAACTAAACTAATGAGATGGATGAATTTGATGATTTTTAACAAGTTTGTTGATATGGGAATGTTATCAAAAATCGTTGAACGATCGACCACAATCCAGGGTACTACTGCGGGTTGACTTTTGTAGCCAAAATTCTTGGGAGCCATTTTTGAATTTGATTTTTATTTCCTCGTTCGTTATCAGTACTATAAGTTATTCTTCCAGTTGGGGTGATACTGCTATGTTGACATTTGAAAAAGGATCTAACACCCAGTCTGGTATTTCCAATTTCAAAATATCCTGAAATCTTTCAATGAAATCACTGTGGAGATTTTCCAAATATTGGTAGTAGAATACAAGCAAGTCGTCATTGTCGCAGGATACTGATAAATTGGGAAAATTGTGGAACTCACGTCTGCCGATATTCTTCTTGTGTAAGAGCAGCTTAGCTACGAAAGCAGCGACGACATTTTTTGTTTTTATCAGATTCATATCATTAAGGAATTTGTAAAGGTCTGTATGCGATATCATTCTTTGATGTGATGAGGTTGTCGCGCTGTTCTGTGTCTTTGTATTCCGAGAACTCTGCGACAGAGTGAAACAGATTGTAAAATCGTGTCAGACAATTTCCTTTTGATAACCAACGCACTTCTGTGTGAAAGATCAATCGGTTGAAATCTTCATCATTAGTAACACAAAGCTGATTAAATAATCTGTCATTTAAAGAGTTGTTTCGGATTTTATTGACTGTTCTGATGACATATTGCAATGATTAAAACAGTCGTTCATTTAAATTTCCAGCAACCAAATGTTGTCGATGTATACCGCAATGTACAGCAAGTACATCTGGAATTTTGTTTTTTAAGTTCGCTATGAAGCCTTTTTGATACCTCGTCATAGCTGGAATACCATCTGTAGCAGCTGAATCATCCTTCAAGGGAATTCCTTTTTCATCACAAAACTTTTCCAGTGTTTTAAATATGGTTTCTCCTTTTGTGTATGTCTCTAAATTTCTAGCAAATAATAGTTCTTGACATATTTTTTATCTTTAATAAACCTCACGTAAGACAGCAACGGATTAGTAAGCTGAAGTGGCAGTGGGCCGGCCATATAGCTCGAAGAACCGACAACCGATGGGGAAGAAAGGTTCTCGAGTGGCAGCCTCGTACCGGTAGGCGAAGTGTAGGGCGTCCCCCCACGAGAGTGACGACCTGGTAAGACATGCAGGAAGTCGATGGATGCAGGTGGCTCAGGACCGTGCTTTGTGGCATTCTTTGGGGGAGGCCTATGTTCAGCAGTGGACTTGTGAAGGGCTGTAATGATGATGATGATGATGATGAAGACAGCAACAGTGTTTCATTAGTCGGTAAAGTGGTCTCATCCAACTGAATTGAAAATTTACTAGTCTTCAGATGATTGCACAATGACTCTTCAATGTTTTCAACCATTTCGTCAATTTGTCTTTGCACAAAATTATTGCTCAAAGGAATTTTTCGAATTATGTCTGCCGCCGGTTTATGGAGTACAGTAGTTATAACTTCTTTAATTGCCGGCAAAATTAATGTTTCTCCTATGTTGTGTGGTTTACCTGTTTGAGCAATTAACAAAGAGATATTGTATGAAGCTCGAAGTCCGTCATCGTATTGCTTAGCAGCCACCGAAAAAAGTTTTGATACACTTGGCTGAGCATTATGCTTCTTTTCCAAGTCTTGAAAATAAGCTACATTTTTGTCCTTCTTATCTGGATGCATTTTATTTAAATGATCTTGAAGTCTTCATCGCTTCGTTTGAAAATGTTTTTGAACAAAGAAGACAGAAAGGCAAAGACGGATTTGTCGAATTTTCTATGAATCCATATTTAATATATTCTGCACTATATTGCCATCTCTTCTTTTTTGCTTCCGACATGGCTTTGTTTTTACAAATATGTAAATAAAATGTTGAACTTAAATACTTGTTTGTTAATAGATTGCGTGCGAAACCCCTAATGAAAATGTAAAAATGATTACGAGCTTTTAAATAGGATTTAATTACAGCACGTACCGACAGGAATAATGGTCCACACTCACGGTCAGTTAAACTGACATCAGTTCAAATGATCATTTCAAACGGATTTAATCCAAAACAAATTCGACTGATCATTCCAACTGATCAGTTCAAACTAGGACTGTTGATATTTTTAAAATATCGGATTTTCAATATATCGACAATTATAAATATATAAATATCTGAGTTTTATATATCGAAAACATAAGCGATATATCGATGCTTATTGCTGAAAAATGATTTGCACAGTTTATAATTTAGTATATTTATTAAACAAATTAAATTATAAATGTATGAAAATGTTAGGTTATAGTTCTTAGTCATTATTAATGAGCCGTGGTAGCTCAGATGGTTAGCGCTCGCTGTAAATTTCACAGTACGCGAGCAACCCGGGTTCGATCCCCGCCGGCACCAATGTAATTCTTAATTGAAATTTTAAGTGTTGATTTACCACGTGCTCGGTGATGAAGGAAAACATCGTGAGGAAATCTGCATGTCTGAGAAATAAAATAAAAATTCCAAAAAACGTGAATATCGCCAACACGCATTGGGGCAGCACGGCGGACGTTGACCTAAATTCTCTCAGAAATTAGGAGAGGCCTGCCCAGCTGAGGAGTGCCCAGCATTGGGACGTATATAAACTGTAACTTTAACTTTTGTTTAATTTAAATAAGACAATTATGTTTACCAATATTTTTCAGTAAGAGTTTTCAAAAATACTCGTTGTTTTATATGTTCAGCTGTTTCAATACTGCGATTATTGGGCACTAAAATATTGAGTGTAGTAGTAATTCGTTCAGATGCTACGGATGTAGCTGAAGAAATCAAATATTTAACAGCTGTTTCTGATAGCACGGAGGTAAATCATAAGACGCCTAAGCGATTAAAATAACTTGAGGCTTATACCAACATCGAAGCACTTATTTCGTCGTTTTCTGTAATAGCTCACATGCGCAGACATTTAATACACATAATCGCATCACTTTGATAAAAATCCACTTCAAACGATTATTTAAACGATAAAACAGGAGCAACCATCCGTTGATGGTCAAGTTCTTGCCAAAACTCACAGTAAGTAAAGTAGTACTAAGTTTCATAGATTATAGTGATTTTAATATCACAGAGATATACTTTACAAAATTACATTTCTTTTTAAGATAATAAGCAAATAAATAATATATATAATAACATAATATAGTGTAAATAAAGTATAGTAGATTGGGTCCATCAAGGATTAGGAGTTAAGTTTATGACCGTGTTGTAGATTAAATGATTTACGTGAAAAAATAAAAATTAAATTATTTAAAAAAATATATCGACTGTTGTATATCTATATTTCAATATCAAACTTATATTTCAATATATGTCGTCCAAAAATATTAAAAATAAATATCGATATTTCTAAAGAATAAAATAGATTTTTCGATATATTGATATTTTATCAACAGTTTTTGA